GATTAGGGGCTCCCATTGTGCTGCCAGGCCGAAATCTCCCAGGGCCCCCGTACCCTCCTCATTCTGCTGCAGGTCCCAGTGTCTCAGGGGCCCCTGTACGGCCTCCCATTGCTGCTTTCTCCATACCACACTTGCCGTGCCATTTTCGGTCTCCCCCTGCTGGTGTGTTCCTTTTTTGTTAGGGTGCGGGCAGTTGGGCCCCTCCCATTGCTGCTCCCGGGGCCCTAATCTGCCTGGGCCGTACCGCCCCTCAGCTGTGCCAGGTCCAAGTGTTAGGGGTCCCTTAGGGGTCCCATTGCTGCTGTCCCATCGCCACCTCTCCCTGTGCCACTTTAGGTCTCCTACACTGTGGTGTGTTCCCATTTTTTGTCATGGGGTGCTGGCATTTTAGGGGCTCCTTTGTGCTGCCGGCCCGAATCTCCCATGGGCCCCGTACCCCCTTTCATGTTCCGGGCCCAAGGGTTCATGGGCCCCTGTAGGCCTCCATTGCTGCGTCCCCATGCCACACTTATTGCCATTAGGTCCCCCACATGCGGGTTTTGTTCCATTTTTTGTATATGTGGAGATTAGGGCCTCCCTTTGTGCTCCCGGGCCGTAATCGCCAGGGCCCCCCTGTACCGCCTCTTCATGTGCTCCCGGGCAAGTGCCCGGGTCCCTGTAGGGGCCTCCCTTTGCGCTGTCCCCATCCCCCAACTCTCCCATTGCCACTTTCGTCTCCCACAGCGGGTGTTTTCATTTTTTTATGGGGGTGCTGGCGTTTAGGGGCCCCCCTTGCTGCTCCCCAGGCCCGTAAATCTGCCAGGGGCCCCCTTCCCGCCCCTCTGTGTGCCAGGCCCCACAGTGTTCAGGGGTCCCTGTACGACCTCCCATTGTGCTTCTCCATCGCCACATTTCCCCAGTCCCACTTTCGGTCTCCCCAGCGGTGTGTTCCTTTTTTGCATAGGGGTGCTGGCAGTTTGGGGCCCCCATTGCGTCCCCGGGCCCGAAATCTGCCAGGGGCCCGTACCCCCCTTTTCATGTGTCCCGGGTTCCAGATCTCTCAGGGGTCCCTGTACGGCCCCCCCTTGTGCTGTTCCCTTTCGCCACACTCTGCATGTGCCACTTTCATCTCCTCACACGGTGTTGTTCCTTTTTTTTGTCTAGGGTCGGCGATTACCCCCCCATTGCTGCCCCAGGCTGTAATCCCCAGGGCCCCTGTCCCGCCTCTTCATGCTGTCCCCAGGTCCTGTTCAGGGGCCCCCGTGGGCCTCCATTGTGCTGTCCCCTGCCACACTCTCCATTTGGCCACTTTCAGGTCTCTCACAAACTGCTGGTGTGAGACTTCAGATATGGGATAAACAATATTAAAGTTTATTAACCACTAACAATACAAACATAAACCAGTGCAATACTAAAACATAATACAGTGCAAACAAACCAAACCAACTCCACCCACAGATAACAGTACATACAATAGCAAGCGTCGTCAGGCAGGCCGGGTCAATATCAAATCTGGGCAGGTAGGTACAGGTGGGAGCAAGCGATGAGAATGGTCGGGGTCACAGGTAAGGCCAGGTTATCAGCAGGTAGCAAGGGCAGCGTAGTACAGAGGGTCAAGCAGTAGGGCTATGGTCAGGGTCACAAGCCAGGGATCAAACATAGCTAACAGGTAGCAAGCAGCGTAAGGGTAGAACAGGAGGGTCCAGGACAAACACACACCAAAAGGCAGAGTCAATAGAGCAGGAACAGATAACGGCCCATACCCCAAGCCGAGAGTCTAAATACCATCCAGCACCCCGCATAATCAGTTTCCAGTGGTTAGCTGGCTGAAAGTTGAGTCTCTGATTGCTGGGAGCACCCGCCTTGGCCAGCCCCTGGTAACTTGCAGATCAAAAGGCAGGTGAGCATCCCACCATTGCTGCCAGATCCCTAATTCCTAACAGTACCCCCCCCTCAAGGAGCGGCCTCAGGACGCTCCAAACAGTCCTAGCTGGCAAAAATGTTCCAACCGCCGCCCGGTCTGGAGTAACTGGCGGGATATCAAATGACTCCGGCACAGCACACCGCAGGCAACCGACTCCGGCAGTCGGCAACACCAACCCGGCAGGAGGCACATCGGCGCGACACCGGGCATAGGCACATTGGACCAAGCACGTCTCCGGCAGAGAGGCCACATCGACTCCGGCAGAGGCACACAACGGGCTGGACTCCGGGCCAGGGCAGGCACACCGGGCAGAGGCACATCGGGCTGGACTTCCGGGGCAGAGGCACATCGGGCCGGACTCGGGGCAGAGGCACATCGGGCAGAGGCACGATCGAGCGGGGCAGAGGCACATCGGGCAGGACTCCGGGGCAGAGGCACATCGGGCAGGACTCCGGCAGAGGCACATCAGTGGCAGGGACTCGGGCAGAAGGCAACATCGGGCAGGACTACGGGCAGAGGCACATCGGGCCAGGACTCGTGGGCAGTAGGCACATCGGTACAGGAACTCCGGGCAGAGGCAGCATGAGGATGGCGAACCGGGCATGCGGACATCGGGCATGGGGGCAGCATGCACCGGGCCCCCGGGCGGGGAAGCAGCAGGCACCCGGCCCCCGGGCTTGGGCAGCAGGCACGCTTGGGCCACCGGGCGGAGCGGTCAATGGGCATCGGGGCCGCCCCGGGCGGCGAAGCAGTTCATGGCACCTCGGGCCCCCGGGCGGAGCGAGCAGCAGTGCGCAGCCGGGCCCCGGGCACGGAGGGCAGCAGGCACCGGGCCCCCGTGGCGGGTGCGACAGGCTACTCGGGCCCCAAGGCGGGTTCGGGCGCGACAGGCATCGGGCCCCCCAGAGCGGGGGCGAGGGGTAGGCCACGGGCCCCCAGGCGGGGCGACAGGCATCGGGCCCCCAGGCGGGAGCGACAGGCCCGTGGAACCCCCAGGCGGATGCGGCGGGCGCCGGGACCCCCAGGTGGCGGATACGCAGCAGGTCTCGGGCCCCCTCAGGCGGAGCGCAGGACGCCGGCCCCATGGGCTGGTTAAGATTTGCGACTGGTCTCAACCTTCGGGCCCTCAGTGCGGAGCGTTTGGGCTTGCGGGGCCCCAGGCAAGCGGAGAGGTCACCCGGGCCCCCAGGTAATGGATTGAAAGAGCAGGCGCTCGGAGCCCCCAGGGATCGGGGCGGAATCAGGTCCGGGCGTGGCTCAGCACGGCGCAGGGCGGGTCGCGCGCACCCCAGGCAGATAGGAGCGACAGGTTACCCCCGGGCCCCACCGCGGAGCGGCCTGCCGCCGGACCCCCCACCATGTGGATCCCACAAATATTTATATCGGCTCCTCAGCTGTGGCGGGATTCGGGCGCCGTGTTACCCAAGATCAGGTAATGAGCAGACAGGTCTCGTATGAAATCATCAGGCGGAACGTGCCAGGCCGCCGGACCCCCACTGGTGTTGAGCGACAGGTCCCTCGGGCCCCCAGGCGGAGCGGATAAGGGCGCCGGCGACCCCCAGGCGGTACCTCGGACAATGGTCTCGCGCCCTTTGTCCAGGCGACACACCCCGCGATGCGCCAGCACCACGCTCCGAGCCCGCCATCGGAGAAAATCCACAGCGTCTCGGGCCCTCAGGCGACGGTTGGCGGAGCTACAGGACCCCCAGGCTGGAGCGACAAAGGGTCTTCGGGCCCTCAGAGCGTAGACGGGACGGGCTGCCGAGACCCCCCAGGATGGAGCGACATGGTCTCTCGGTGCCCTCAGCAGGCGGAGTCGGCGGGCGCTCCGGACCCCCAGATGCGAGCGGATCAGGATCACGGATGGCCCTCCAGGCGGAAGCGACATTACGTCATCAGGGCACCCCAGGAGGGGCGACTAGAGGGGGGGGCGTGGGGGGCCGTACGGGTGGCGGCACATCAGGCCAGGCGATGGCGTCGGAAGCGCATTGATGCCCCAAGCGGGGGCAACAGGTCATGCCGTGCCCCAAGGGCGGAGGAGAGGAGGGCCACCGCCGTCACCAGGCACAACCGTTGGCACTATGCCGAGTCAATCTGGTGATGACCGCCGGCCACTGGTCAAGGACATAGAATGGGTTCTGGCTGGACTGGGCGGGCATATCGTGTCATCCAAGGCAACAGGTCATTTTGGCTCGAAGCACGCTGTGGCACCCGCTTCATCTGGCATAGGCAGTTGGAGCTATACCAGACGTCAACTGGTATGCACCGCCGGGCACTGGGTCAGGACATTTGGATCGTCTGGAACTGGACAGCGGGATCGGGTTTCACCAGGCATCAGGTCATTTGGCTCAACAGCGGGCACCGTGTCATCTGGCAAGGCAGTGGCTTCCGAATCAACAGGCACGACAGTGGGCACCGGGTCATCAGGTACCGGTTTGTCTGGCTCGACAGCAGGCACTGGTCACCAGGCATCAGGTCATTTGGCTTGCCAGCGGGCACCGCGTCATCTGGCAAGGCAGTGGGCACCGGGTCACCAGGCATTGGATGTCTGGCTCGACAGCGGGCATCGGGTCACCAGGTATGACAGCGGGCACTGGGTCACCGGGCATCAGGTCTTTTGGCTCGCCAGTGGGCACCGCGTCATCGGGCAAGGCAGTGGGCACCGATCACCAGGTACGACAGCGGGCTCTAGTCAATTGGCACGGACAGCGAGCAACGGATTTAGGTACCGGATCATCTGGATCAACAGCGGGCATCGAGTCAAACTGGCCTAATAGGATCATCAGGCTGGATCAGTTCATCATGCTGGGTAGAGGCATCAGGCTGAATGCCGGCGTCCGGCTGAGTAGAGGCTTCAGGCTGAGTAGAGGCTTCAGGCCGAGTAGAGGCTTCAGGCCGAGTAGAGGCATCAGCCGAATAGAGGATTCAGGCCCAGTAAGGCTTCAGGCTGAGTAAGGCTTCAGGCTGAACCAAGCAGCGTTAGTAAAAGAGGTCAAGCAGAGGGATGGTCAGGGTCACAAGCCAGGAATCAGAACAGGTAGCAAGCAGCGTAGTACAGAGGGTCAGGCAGAGGGATGGTCAGGGTCACAAGCCAGGGATCAGGGCAGGTAGCAAAGCAGCGTAGTACAGAGGGTCAGCAAAGGAACAAAAAACAGGATGCAGGACAGATACAGGGCCCAGGACAAACACACACCAAGGCAGAAATCTGTGGGTCTGGCCTCCCTTAAATACCCCAGCATAATCAGTTCCAGGGGTTAGCTGGCTGCAAAGTTGAGTCCCCTGATTGCTGGGAGCACCCCCCTGGCCAGCCCTTTGGGACTGCAGATCAAAAGGCAGGTGAGTCCCACCATTATTGGTGAAAATTTATTCCTGAGAGGGTTTGTTGCACTTGTCTGCTGAGCTCCAAAAGGCCCGAGAAGCCTGGGGGTAAAGTGCCCTGCCCAGCCCAGGCAGGATGGCGGATCCTGGGCCTGGGTCCAGCGGGGAGAAAGGCCCTGGAGGGGCCATAAAGGCCCCTCTCTTTTTCCACCCGTAGAGGACCTGGGAATGGCCCCTAGGAAGGGGGAAGTTTATTCTGCCTACCCGGGGCCGTGTGGCCGCTCGGGCCCCGGTTAAAAGAGAAGGAGGAACCAAGCTCCATAAGCTACTCGGAGCTAAAGA